TAAAATTTGGGGGACTTTAGAGAATTTATTCAACCTCTTTGCAACCTCTATTTTCTTACCTGCAAAAATGGGAACAACCATGCCTATTTCACAGGATTCCTCCAGAGATTAAATAAGATAATATAAATAAAGAGCTCAGCATAGTGCCTGGCACATAGTATTATGGGATCTTTGGGGTGTCACTCTTCTGACTGGAAACCTGTGGCCAGTGGTGCCTTGCACAGGTTCGGCTCAGGCACATTGGACTTTTTCCACCCACTTGGCCTGACAGACTGCACTCAGCTCACACTACCAGCCTACATCCCACGCCTCCAAGGGAGACTGCAAATCAGGCATGGAACAGGAAGGGGTGTGTGAGCGAGAGTAGGGTCCGGCCACTGTGCAGTCAGACATGCCAGCTGCTGCTGTGGGGCTGGCAGCCCCAGGTGCCAGCATGGGTGCCAGCTGTCTGCGAGGCTGTGGCTGGACCAGGTGTACTGCAGGCAGCTCTCCTGGTTGGCACCAGGGAATGTGGTGGCACCTGGAATCTTGGAGATGCCAGGAACCACAGGGCCATAAAGAGGAAGTCACAGCCCTGGCTTAGGCAGCTCCCAGGTCTGGGGTTCCCGAAGGGCCACAGCTCTTCTTTCCTCTTTGCCCACAACATGACAAGCAAGGAGCATGTTTCAGTTCTGTTTGTGTTACAGCAATTTTAGTCCCACCATTCCATGGGTCCAAAATTCTCGTCCTGCAACCAGGAAGAATGAGGTACACAGACAAACGTAGGGTGAGCAAGATGAAGAGGAGCCTTATTGAGCGATAGAACAGCTCATACCCGCAGTGGGTAGCTCCTTTCCGCAACCAGGGTGTCCTGACAAGTGTCCTAGCATAGAGACCCTGGAGTGGGAAGCTCTTTTCTGCAGGAAGGTCATCCTGTCTTCTCTGCAGCTCTCAGCAGAGAGGAGGCCCTGGAGTGCATAGCTCCACTCTGCAGCTGGTCTTATGGACATTTCTGAAGCTGTCAGCAGAGAGCGGGCACTGGAGTAGATTGCTCCTCTCTGCAGCTGATGGTCCCAACCTCTGCCCTGTTCTGCCTGAGCCTGGGGCTGTTAATGGGCCTCAGAAGGGAGGAAGTGCAAGTAGACTGGTCCCTGGGCAGCCATGGGCAGGCCTAGAAAAGGCACCACAAGTTCCCACTCCAGTGGGCAGGACTGGCAGCCAGGGCCCCAGCCTTCACGCCCTCCCTGAAGGCCAGCACCAAGCTGCCCTCAGCGCCCCCACCTTCCCCCATGCTCATCAGTGCCCAAAGTCTGGAAGGGGCCGAGGCAGCAGGGGGCTGGGGCTGGCTTGTCAGCACTACCCCGAGCATGTGCACTCCCAGCCTGACTGTGACAGCACCTGGGCTTGGCCCCACATTGCTCTAAGATCAGAGCCAGCACCAACAGCAGGCAGAAGCCAGGCGGCAGGAGCAGGCACTTCTGAGCCTGCTGGGATGGGGGGGCAGAGGGGGGTGCTTTTCCGTGTCTCCAGGAGTTTATGGAGGCCCAGGTCCACAGCCCTGACTTGGATGGCTGCAGCCCCACGTGGGGCTGCTGCCTGTTCCTGGCTTCCACCAGCTCTATGGAGCATGCAGCCCCTATAGCACCCCCTTGCAGCCTAGGGCAGGGGCTCCAGGTCCTCACTGGGCCTGGGCCAGTGTCCGGGGCAGGGTGACATCACCATGAGCTCTGCCTGTTGCCCCGGCGCTTCAGGGGTAGCCAGGGGCAGAGTGGATCCTGGGCCTGGGCCTTGGCTGGGTCATCTGGCCAGGAGTGTCAGGCTCAGTGGTCACTCCAGTGTGGGGCAGACCTGGGGACACAGCCCCGGACAGGCTGCACAGAGCCTCCTCCTGAGGCACAGGAATCTGGCACCCTCGGCAGAGTGGGCACAATGGCCGCGCCAATGGCCAGGTGCCCGAAGTGGAAGCTGCTCCCACTTCCTGTCTGGGGCCCCTGAAGCACGGCCCCGGCTCTGCGCCCAGGCCTGGCCTTGGTGCTCCATGTGCAAGCAGAGCACTGCCCAAGGCCCAGCTCCTTCTCGGGACTCCTCTCTGCCCTATCGCGCTGCTTTTCTGCCACACTGCTCCTCTGCTGGCAGGCAACCCGGCCAGCCCCATGGGGTGGCCTCCAGAGTGGCAAGCTGTGGAGGGGCTGTTGGTCTGCTCCCTGCGACCTCCCCGCAGCGGCCGTTGTGATGGCAGCGGCTGCTCCAGACAGCCCACCACTGTCATCAATAGTAAGCACTCAATAAATGGTAATTTTTGAAAGGAAGATAACTAAGAAATTTAGAGAATAATGGTAGGCAAAATCGATTTACAGAAGAATGGGAGACAACTCTAAGAGCAGAAAAATATTTTCTTCAATTTGCCTCTGATCCTACTGTCCCCTCTATCTTCTCTGTCATCTCTGAATTTGCAGATTTCATTTATCCTTTAAGATCCCAGATCAACTACCACCTCCTCCATGAAGCCTTCAAATTACCTCAGCCAGAAATGATCACTTCCTTTATTTTTGCCTTTTGTGGCAAAAAATACTAATATGTTTAATCTCTTTAATATTACAATTACTATGTCAGCTGCCTTATAATGCAGCTTCCTGAAAGGGCAGGGACTTATCTTCTTGGTTTTCAGTCTCTCCTTATTCCTAGCATGGAGTATTGCATGTAGACTCTGATTGCATGAATGAAAGGCCAGCAAGGCACAAACTTTGGTAGGTAGCAGCCCACGAACAAGGTTCTCCTGAACAGATTTGTCGTTGTTGTCTTGTGCGGGTATGTGTGTGTATAGGGAGAGCCTAAAGTGTAGGGGTGGGTTTATTAACAGTTGAACTCATTGATACCTTTCCTTAAGAGCCAGATAGCTTATGTTTCATTGCCACAGTTATCAAATATAATATTCAAAATGGAGGATGAAGAGTGCCAGGATTTTTTTTCTTTCTTTTTATTTTTCTCTCTTTTGTGGCAGGGGGTGGCTATGGAGGAGAAAGAGTAAAGAATAAGGGAAAAGATGCATCTTTTATTTGAAATGCAGGTAGGAGTTATGGATAACGCCCAAGTACCTGTACAAATGAAAATGATTAACTTTGCTACTCCAGAAAAAAATTTTAATCCCGAAGTCATTTATTTTGGCTTTAGAATAGACTAGTGTTTGTGTCGGATTTTCCTGCCTAATTACTTTTTGCTTAAGCTTATTTAAAAATTGTTTTAAATTCCTTTAGTATGACAGCCTAGGAAAGTTGGGGGAGGAGAAACAGGCCACAGATGGGATCTGAACTAGAATTTCAGTTTTCCCATGTCAAGGCCTCCTGATGTACTGCTTGCAGGAGGGCAAAGTTGGAGTCAGCTTTGTGGAAAACAATTTGGCAAAATAATTTTTAAAGTCTTAAAAATATGCTTACTCTTTGATCCAGTAATTCCACTTCTAGGAATTTGTCCTAAGGAAATAATCAAACAAGCATGCAGAAATATAGAGACAAGGATATTCACCATGACATTTATAGCTGCGAAAAAAAGTAAAACCAACATAAAGTATTGAATAATATGGAATTGATTAAAGTATGCTGTTATCTGCACATGTTATCAAAATTATAGACTTTAAAAATGTTTGCCACATCTTTTTATGTGAAAAAGAAACTGCAAAATAGTATGTTCAGTTTGAAACAACACATGGATATAGAGGTGGATGGATGGATGGATAGATGGACGGATGGAAATACATATTCCAAAGTGTTAATTTTGGTGTTGCTGAATAGTAAAATTAGGGATAGTTTTATACTTTTTTGTGTTTTTCAAATTTTCTGCTTAAACATGTATTACTTTGTAATTAGAAAAAACTATCATTTTTTAAAGAATGTATGGTTAATATATCAACGAAAAGGTAAATTACTAAATAATGCCCACAAAGTAGGTAATCTGAATGCAAATAATTTCTATTGAGTATAAGAGTCACATTCATACATGTGAATTATAAGCAATCATACTGCATACATAAAGTCAGATGCACCTTGACTATGGTTTAACTATATTGTTTCCCAAGTAAAATAACCATATTCAGTAAAAACCTGTGAAGGCACAATTCGATTATAACTTGGGTGTCCTGTTTTGTGATACCACACTATGGAGGCAGACTTTTCTTGAGCCAAGAGAACCACAGTTTTGCAAAGCTGCAGAGACCAGTAGGTTTTTTGGGAATTATATGTTAAAACATTTGATTGCCCAAATAACATTTTAAAAATACTGGGAACATTTGAAATCATTCTTGATCCTCAGAAGGCAATTCCCAGTGAAATTTTTGGCTGTTTCCCCTTTGTTTATCTCTTTATTATCAACAACTCAGAACTTCATATCCAAAGGTCTAAACGGGCAAAGCGGAAGAAAGTGGATGGTAAATGATGAAGACAATCATAAACCTTTGGTGACCCCAAAATAACTCTTGGCTCACGTGCTAACTCTGCTTTATATGATCAGCTGCAGGGGAAATTTGTTCTTTACTGTTTGCAAACTTCAGCTCTGTACACATGATGGGGTTCTCTTTTATTTGCAGTCCCTAAATTCCTGGGATACCATATGGCCTCACCGAAGGAAAGGGCTTGCAGGTCTGACTCCCTGTCGTCTGAGGTCAGATGGAAAAGCCTTTTGTGATTAACTCGGCCACAGTGTGTCCTTTGGTATTTGGAACTTCAGTGGTTTTTTATTAATTCTCCAAGTTTTGAACACTGACCCAAATAAGCTTCATATAATGGAAAAAGAAGATAAATCTAGCTCTTTGGGCCCCAAATTGAATCCCATTTTCCCACTAGCTGTAACCTTGAGCAGGTTGACTCAGTATGTCAGAATTTCAGTTTCCTCACTTAATTAGGAGAGTTGTGCCTTCCTGCCTCACCTCTTAGGGCTATTCTTGGTGAACTGTAAAGCCCTGTAACAGCGAGGGACAGCTGTGGGTCTTTATAAACACACCACCTTCTCCTACCTTGTTTCTGACACAGTTCCCTTACGCCGCCCCACCTCCCCAAGAACCTGTGAAGACTCTGAGAAGCCTGGTCAATATCCGCAAGGACACGCTGAGGCTCGTCAAGTAAGTTCCCAGAGGCTGGGGCCAGGTCCCAGGCACCTTCCTTTGGGGAGGTTGGGGGCTGGGGGACAGACTCCCCAAGGAACTCACACAGCAGTTTCTGGCAGCCCCAGAGCCTGCTTCTCCAGGTCTCAGACAGGAGTGCAGGCGCTTCTTTCTGCTGAGATCAGGCCATCCACCCCTATGTTGTTCAGCACTGGATGCAATGGACTGTGTTTGTGAAGAACTTTCACTTGCCTAGAAATGCTCAGTATCCTTATTTTATGGATATTTTTTAAAAGGGAAGAAGAATTATTAAGGGAAAGTGGGAATTTTTGCAGCTACTCCAACAAGCCAATGTAAAAATAGGAAATTTGAACTTAGAATATAAAATCCTTTATTTTATTGCTATATTTTCTTTTTCTTCTTTATTCCCTATCTCATGTGTCTGTTCTCTTTTTTTTTTTTTTCTTTTTCTTGAGACGGAGTCTCGCTCTGTCACCCAGGCTGGAGTACAGTGGCGCGATCTCCGCTCACTGCAAGCTCCGCCTCCCGGGTTCACGCCATTCTCCTGCCTCAGCCTCCTGAGTAGCTGGGACTACAGGCGCCACCACCTCGCCCGGCTAATTTTTTTGTATTTTAAGTAGAGACGGGGTTTCACCGTGTTAGCCAGGATGGTGTCGATCTCCTGACCTCATGATCCGCCCGTCTCAGCCTCCCAAAGTGCTGGGATTACAGGCTTGAGCCACCGCGCCCGGCCCTCATGTGTCTGTTCTCTAAGGAACTCATAGTGCCCTTGGTTGGTTGTTTAATCCTCATCATCAATGTTAATTATCGTCATTTGCCTTCTTGGTGCCATCCTCGAGACAGTGTAATTTTTAATCTGATACATTTCCACCGCCCGCCACCCCTAGACAGTATGTCTACCAAGGCTCTCTGATTCCCTGGTGAAAAACTTTGGTTAGAGCAAATCAAGGTCCCAGATTTTTCTGAATAGGCAAGAAAGATGACTCAGAGACCATCTCATGCTTGTATAGATCAGCCTTATTAGCATTACGATGTTTCTGTCTGATATATATATAGATATAGATATAGAGAGAGAGACAGTCTCGCTTTTTTTTTTTTTTTTTTTTTTTTTTTTTTGAGACAGAGTCTCACTCTTGTTGCCCAGGCTGGAGTGCAATGGCACAATCTCGGCTCACCGCACCCTACGCCTCCCGGGTTCAAGCGATTCTTCTGCCTCATCCTCCTAAGTAGCTGGGATTACAGGCATGCACCACCATGCCTGGTTAATTTTGTAATTTTAGTAGAGACGGTGTTTCTCCCTGTTGGTCAGGCTGATCTCAAACTCCCGACCTCAGGTGATCCACCTGTCTCGGCTTCCCAAAGTGCTGGGATTAAAGGCATGAGCCACCGCCCAGAGTTTTGCTTTGTCACCCAGGCTGCAGTACAGTGGCACGATCTCAGCTCACTGCAGCCTTGACTTCCTGGGCTCAAGCAGTCCTTCCAGCCCGAAGTAACCACTAATCTATTTTCAGTCTGTCTCTCTTAATTTTTTATATTTTATTTGTCCCTGAAGTTTCTACTGGTTCCCCAGCTATGCTTCTCTCCACCCCAGGGTCATCTCTGGGGAGGAGAGAGCCAAGGAGGTACCTGTCTGCTGAACAGTCCCCCCACCTGACCCAGGGGAGTTCATCCAGCAGAAGAGCAGACTAACGAGGCCTCTGGGGCCTGCCAGTTGCCAGCTACTCTGTCCACTTGGTTTCTCTCATCACATATGGCACATTCATACATTTGATGGAGACCATTCAAGGGCCTGAGCTGCTGCGAGGTCATGGCCTCTGCCGTGGCAGCCTGGCTGCAGCTCTAGAATAGGATGAAGCAGCTGTCTTGCGCTAAAAGAACCAGACTTGGAAGCAGCAGAGCAATTTGCTTCCCAGGTCCACAGATGCTTGCTTGAATGAGTGTCTGAGCTTCAGGATTTTTTTAATCTGTAAAATGGTGATAATCAACTTTACCTTTCATGGTGGTTGTCAAAATTAAGGTAACAGAAGGGAAAACACCTGGTGTTCAATAAATGTTAATTTGAAGAGTGTTCTTTGTTTTGTTTTTCTGTGATTATGGGAATAAATTCTGATTCTCAGATTTCCAGGTAAAGATGGAGGATTGAACACCTACTTTTGCTTCCTCTGAAAACCCCATCAAGTAATTATAAACATGTATTTAAAAGGCATAAATCTGGCCGGGCACAATGGCTCACGCCTGTAATCCCAGCACTTTGGGAGACCAAGGCGGGTGGATCACCTGATCCTGGCCAACATGGTAAAACCCCGTCTCTACTACAAAACAAAAATTAGCCAGACATGGTGGCATGCACCTGTAGTCCCAGCTGCTCCAGAAGCTGAAGCAGGAGAATTGCTTGAACCCAGGAGGCAGAGGTTGCAGTAAGCCAAGATTGTTCCACTGCACTGCACTCTGGGTGAGAGTGAGACTCCATCTAAAAAATAAAAAATAAGGCCGGGTGCGGTGGCTCTTGCCTGTAATCCCAGCACTTTGGGAGGCGAAGGTGGGCAGATCACAAGGTCAGGAAATCGAGACCATCCTGGCTAACACAGTGAAACCCTGTCTCCACTAAAATTACAAAAAATTAGCCAGCCGCCTGTAGTCCCAGCTACTTGGGAGGCTGAGGCAGGAGAATGGCGTGAACCCAGGAGATGGAGGTTGCAGTGAGGCGAGATTGCGCCACTGCACTCCAGCCTGGGCGACAGAGTGAGACTCCGTCTCAATAAAATAAATAAATAAAATAAAATAAAAATTAAAAAATTTTAAAAAGGCATAAATCTGTAAGTATTTGGAGAATGGGAAGAGAGCAGCAGCAACAAAATTTTAGAAGCTGGAAACACATAGTGAATATTAAATGACTTAGTAGACCCAGGATATCAGAATCCTGAACTAGCAGAAAGAAAAGCTGAGAATCAACCAATTTATACTGTGGTATTATCCCCCAAGGGGTTCAGAAATTAGCAGTGCCAGGTCTTTCTAGAAGTTGAGGTGGGAGGCTAAAATGAAGAGGATTGGTAGAAAGTCTGCCCTCAAGGTAGGCAGATCCCCTCCGTTATACCACACAGCCAGAACTACGTTACTACAACCTGGCCAAAGGCAGGCAGATGACTGTCCCCGGAAAGGTAAAAACAAAGAATCTCTGGACAAGAGAGACCCAGGCACAGCTAACGGCCAGTACTAAAAACAGGCTAACCAGCCTGGGCAATATGGTAAAGCCCTGTCTCTACAAGAAATACAAAAATTAACCAAGCATGGTAGTGTACACCTGTAGTCCCAGCTATTGGGAGGCTGAAGTGGGAGGATCACCTGAGCCCAGGGAGGTCGAGGCTGCAATGAGTCACAATCACACCACTGCACTCCAGCCTGGGCAAGAGTGAGACCCTGTCTCAAAACAAAACGGGGGGTGAGTGGATCCTGGCAAACTGGGTGTTGAGCCCTCCAGCTGCCTCTCCACTCTGCCCCTAGAATGCTGGCAGCCAGGCCTTTGTCAAGAGAGAGAAAAACTGTTTTCTGGAAATTGGACCTGCCTGGATAGGAAAACCTAGGAGACTAGAGTTGGAGGTTCCTCAGCAGATCCAGATCAGCCCACAGTGAAGCCCGGGATCCCCAAGTCCTGCTGTGCACTCAGAGCTCTAATCAGCAGTTTAAATATCTTAAATACAAGCAGACAGCCACAGATTCTTAGATGTGTAAGGAATGCCTATAATAGGAAAGACAGTAGCAAAACACACCAACATTTTAAAACAACCTAACTAGGCCGGGTGTGGTGGCTCACACATTTAATCCCAGAACTTTGGGAGGCCAAAGCAGGAGGATCGCTTAAGCCCAGGAGTTTGAGACCAGCCTGGGCAACATAGTGAGACCCCATCTCTATATAAAATAATAATAAAGTAAAAAAAAAAAATCTAATTGGAAACAAAAGCTATGCAGAAAGAAGAAAACTTCATTAATAGTCTCAAAGACATGAGAGAAGATATCTTTTTCTTTCATAGCCACAATGACACGAAGTTTATGAAACCAAAAAAAATTGCTTTTAGAAATTAAAAACAAGGAGCATAAATGAAAATTTCAATAGAATTATAGGAAGAAAACTTGAAATATTCTAGAAAGCAGAGCAAAAATCCAGAGAGAAGGAAAATAGAAGAAGAAAGATACAAGTAATAGAGCACCCATTTAGAAGGTCTGACATCCAACTAACGGGTTCTACAGAGAACAGAGGATATAAAAGGAAGGAAATCATCAGTGACATAGAATTTAAGAAAATTTCTCAGAAGCAGAGGGTACAAGTTTCTAAATGGAAAGGACCACCAAGTGCCCACACAGTGGATGAGAAAGAGGACTGTCTGTAAGCTTTCAGAAGAAGGATCAGCAGTTGGAACGACTTCAGACTTCTTGGGAACAATGCTGGGAGGTGAAAAATAAGGCAGCGAAAAGGCTTTCAGTGTCTTTTAGAAATTATTTATAATCTAGAATACTTTGCTCAGCCAAACTTTGAATGAAGTGTGAATGTTGAATAAAAGCTCTCAAAAGTTTATTTCCCAACACACCCTTTTTCAGGAAGCTGGTAGAACACATGCTCCACCGATACAAAAGAATAACCCAAGACAGAGGAAGACATGAGATACAGGAAACATGAGCTTCTACAGGAGGACAGAGGCAAAAGGGATCCACCAGGATGATGAAGGGGGAGAGATTCCAGGGTGGCGGCTGGGAGCCAGGTGCAGAGGGCCAAGTACAGATGGGAGCAAGTCCAAGGGACCTCCTCAATAAGATGAATAGACCACTTGGTGCATCTGAACGTCTTGAGAGATTTAGACAGCCCCAGAGAGCTTGGGTTGGAATTTGTGATGAGTACATAGAAAACTATGCAACTGGAAAAAAAAAAAAAGAAAAAAAAGGATGAGCACTAATTAAGAAAAAGTTAGGAAAAGAAAAATAATCATAGATTATATGTTTATATAATCACAGTAATACAGACACAAATGTACTGGACTATTATAAAAAAATTATGATGTAGCTATACTGTGGGGGATGGGGGAGTTCCTATATGGAGCAGAATGAGTAAAAGAAAGAAATCCTTGTTTCTATAGTAGGAAACCCATAGATAGTGCCTGAAACTGAAAAATCAAGAAGTAGTAACACAAATATATTTTTTAGAAATGTGGGTAAATGCCAAAATGATCACTAAAAGCGGTGTCCTCTGAAGAGAAGGAAAGGGAAGAAGTAAGGCCTGCTATTTTTTGCCTTGAAGAAACTATTTAAACTACGTGATTAATAACTTTTATTAAAATAAAAACAAAACTGCCAAATGCACAATGATGTAGTGGTAGCACTATGAAATATCAGAAGTAACCTGAGTGCCCAGCAATATTGGTCATGAAGCACTCTGTGATCATTCAGAATGAAGAGGTAGACCTATGCTTACGATCACTCAGAGAAGCCCACAATATATTGCTAAAATTTTTTTAAAAGGTAAATTTTAAAATATTGATATGCTACCCTGCAAATGCTGAGTCTCTGGTTTTCTAGATGTGCTGAGGAAGTGAAGAGCCCTGGAGAAGAGGCCAGCAAAGCTAAAGTCCACTACAATGTTGAGTTCACCTTTGACACAGATGCTAGGGTAGCCATCACCATCTATTACCAGGCCATGGAAGAGTTCCAGAATGGTATTGCCAGGTAAGATCAGGAGACCAGGTGAGCCACTTCCTTCCCAGATGGGTAGAGTCCATGTCTTATCCACTCAGCAAAGGTGGAAAACATTCTTTTTCTGCAGCCAGATGAGATCTGGTTCCTGAATAGATTTTCTTCTACAAAGCCCTACCCTTTACCTTTTCCCTTCAAATTGTGCCATCTTGGTATAGTGGCAAATGGTGGTATAGTCCTTCAGGTCCTTAAGGACTGTTAAAAATCTAGTAAGCTACCTTTCTTTGGATGTGTGGGTTGAATAGAAAAGTCAACATTGCCAAGCAAGAGCAAAGGAAATGGATTATAAAGGACCCTTTCTTCTCTTCGCTAGAGCCTGTTGATAATTGAGAACAGGCATGAGCAGAGGAAGTTGTCAGACCCATCTGTGCCAGATACTGACTTTTGCTTTGCCTCCCACTTGTATCAATAGCTACATTCCCAAAGACAACAGCCTCCAGTCGGAGACTGTGCACTACAAGCGAGGAGTGTGTCAGCAGTTCTGCCTGCCCTCCCACACGGTGGATCCCTCCGAGTGGGCCGAAGAGGAGGTGAGGTACCTTTGGGGAGGGTTTCCCACATCGACTCAGAAGGGCCTAGGGGCTACTTAGGACCCCGGCCAAAAGCAAAGGGGCTGCTCAGACACTTGAAGGCCATGCTTACCTTTCAGTCTTGTGACTTCACCATGTCCTTTTAAAGCTCTGCTTATTTTGCATCAAGGATATACCTGACTTTGTTAATTTTTCCATTCCCTAGGAACGGAAATAGCCCATTAGCATAGGATACTTTGAGAAAGCCATGCTCAAAGAAAAGAAAAAAACAAACCTATAGGTGAGAAGGCCTTATTTACATCTATGAGATTTTTAAAAAGAAGCTGATTCGCCTAGGATACTTTGAGAAAGCCATGCTCAAAGAAAAAACAAACAAACAAACAAAAAAAACCTATAGGTTAGAAGGCCTTATTTACATCTATGAGATTTTTTAAAAGAAACTGATGGCCCTCATTTAACAAACTTGGGTAATTAACAAGGCTGACAAGGAGCCTTGTTAATGAGGAGCAGAAATGAGATTAATGCTTGACAGTATCGCCCTTTCTGAGATTAACTGTGCCATCTAAATGTGTTAAGTCCTCTTTTTTTTTTTTTTTTTTCTTTCCTTTTCTTTCCCTTCAGCTTGGCTTTGATCTGGACAGAGAAGTTTACCCTCTAGTGGTACATGCCGTGGTGGATGAAGGAGACGGTAGGGGCGATTTCTGTCCTCTTTGGCTGTGCACACTGCTCTTTTGTGGCATATTCCTGGCAGCAGCTGTGGCCCCAGAACAACATGCCTTCTTTGTGGGTGTTTGTGACTGTGAGTCAGGCAGTCTCTGCATCCTCTCACATCTGTGACTCCAAGCTCCTGGGCGGATGTGGAAAGTGTGGGTTTGGCTGGGCACAGTGGCTCACACATGTAATCCCAGCAGTTGGGGAGGCCGAGGCAGGTTTGGATCACCTGAGGTCAGGAGTTCGAGACCAGCCTGGGCAACATGGTGAAACCCTTTCTCTGTTAAAACTACAAAAATCAGCTGGGCATGGCAGTGTGTGCCTGTAATCTCAACTACTTGGGAGGCTGAGGCAGGAGAATCGTTTGAACCCAGGAGGCAGAGGTTGCAGTGAGCTGAGATTGCGCCAATGCACTCCAGTCTGGGTGACAGAGTGAGACTCGGTCTCAAAAAATATGGGTTAGCTGGGTGTGGTGGCTCATCCCTGTAATACTAGCACTTTGGGAGGCTGAGGCAGGCAGATCACCTGAGGTCAGGAGTTCGAGACCAGCCTGGCCAACGTAGTAAAACCCCATTTCTACTAAAAATACAGAACATTAGCCAGGCATGGTGGCTCATGTCTGTAATCCCAGATACTTGGGAAGCTGAAGCAGGAGAATTGCTGGAACCTGGGAGGTGGAGGCCACACTGAACCAAGATCATGCCACCGCACTCCAGCCTGGGCAACAGAGCCAGACTTTGTCTCAAAAAAAAAAAAAAAATGAGGGTTATATAAAATGCCCCTTCTAGGGACAGACTGGCACATTTGGTTTGCCAGATTGCAGGGAATTGGGGAAGGTCATGGGCATCAAGGTGTGCTGTTTGGGCTTCTTCACTCACATGCCTTTGTTTCTTTCAGAGTATTTTGGCCATTGCCATATACTGCTGGGGACTTTTGAGAAGGTGAGTAACTTTAGAGGGCCTCGCTTTATTCCCTTTAGCCCTTTCTTTCATGTAAGACACATGTAACCCCTGTTTGCTGGGTCCCTGAGCTCAGCAGAATGGGTCTGGCTTTAGAGGCTATGATGGTGACAGAACATCGCTTTGGGGGCTATGTTTGGGTGTAGGTCCAGCCCTGCCATCAGCTTGCTACAGGACCTTCAACTCCTTAGGCCTCAGTCTCCTTAAAATGAAAGGGTTAGACTGAGTCAGACGTGGTAGCTCACACCTGTAATCCCAGCACTTTGGGAGGCCAAGGTGGGTGAATCACTTGAGGCCAGGAGTTCGAGGCTAGCCTGGGAAACATGGCAAAACCCTGCCTCTGTTAAAAATATAAAAATTAGCCAGGCATGGTGGCGGGCACCTGTAATCCCAGCTACTCAGGAGGCTGAGGCAGGAGAATTGCTTGAACCTGGGAGGCGGAGGTTGCAGTGAGCTGAGATGGCGCCACTGCACTCCAACCTGGGCGATAAAGTGAGGCTCTGTCTGAAAAAAAAAGAAAGAAAGAAAGGGTTACACTGGATAGTTGTAAGATCTTTAAAGAATTAGGATTGTATAATTCTACTCTGAGAGCATCCAGGAACATGTGTACAGTAGTCCCCCCTTATCCTCAGGAGATACGTTCCAAGACCCCCAGTGGATGTCTGAAACTGCAGATCGTACAGAACCCTCATATACACTATGGTTTTTCGTAGACTTCACACCTATGATAAAATTTCATTCATAAATTAGGCAAAGTAAGAGATTAAGAATAATAGTAAACTAAAACAATTATAACTATAAGGTAATAAAAGTCTGAAAGTCATCTTTCTCTCTCAAAATATCTTATTGTATGTAATATTTTCAGACAGTGGTTGATGGTGGGTAACTGAAACCATGGAAAATGAAACTGCAGATAAGGGAGGGTGACTGTAACTTGGAGATGTAACAGAAGAATACCTGGAGCTTTATTACCCTCCCTTCCTTGTCATAACTTTCATATTTTCATTCCAGCACACAGATGGAACTTTCTGTGTCAAGCCCCTCAAACAGAAACAAGTAGTAAGTATTTGAAGACTGCAGACTGTTAGTGTTAGGGTCCTTCCTTCCTTTTATTCTTTCCTTTCTTCTTCTCTCTCCCTCTTTTTTTTGTTTTTGTTTTTGTTTTTGTTTTACTTTTTGCTAAGTCTCTCCTTTTCTTTTTCTTCTTTTTTTTTTTAATCAAAAAAGAAAAGAAAAAAAGGGAGTGCTTTTGAATGTTATAAGCTATTACAAACGACTTGGGTGGCCTGAAAGGAATGCTGATTTTTGATGTCTTCATTGTTCCAGAAGTGTTGGTGTTGAGGGAGCCTTTATCTGAGTAAAGGACTTGAGAAATGAAAGAACAAGATTTATTTCCCAACACTGGGTTTAGGGAGAACTCTTTTTATTTTAAATGCCAGAGTGAGAACTATTTCAAGCGAAAGGATAAGCATTAGGGTCCAATTTGGGGTAATTAGAGTCATTGGCTTAATTTATCCATTCCTTTTCTAAAATTCAAAGTTGGCCATTCTTCCTCTTGCAGAATGATCAGCACCTTGTGCATATGTCTGCTAGAAGTCCCAGCCCCTGCCATGTGCCAGCACTTTTCTTTCCACTCTTATAGAGGTAGGAGGAGACATCATTGGAAGGAGAGAGAGTGGTGCCAGTGGCATTGGCAAGGGAGGGTGGGTGAGGGGTAGGTCATCTCGAGGAGGGTGTAGAGCAGCTGGGTAGGAGGCAGGGCTGGGCTTCGTCAAGATGCAAAGAAAAGCCTCCCTGCAGATGGGTGATAGATATCTGAAATTCTATACTGTCCATTCTTTTAGGTTAATTATTTGCCTCTCTTTTAATGAGGTCAGTAATAAGAATATCTTAGTATAAATTAGTTTTCCAATATAATCACTACATGAAAACAAGTTTTAAGAGCAGACGAGGAAACAGATCCTGAGTCCAGGGCACTACCTGGGCAGGCCAGGCCTTGGTGAGTTGCCTCATGGGGGAAGGCCTGGTTCTCCAGGAGGCCTGGATGGGATGGAAAGGTTCATGTAGCTAGAGGAAAATGGTTTGTACATTTTCCTCTTGTTAGATTGGCATTAGCAACAGACTATCAAACTGGAGAGTGGGATATAAAATCAGAGACAGGCTATGTCTTAGAGGAAGGGATGGCTAAGAAACAGAGGTGAGGCAGAAGAGCGTGCTCCTAAAAGTAAATGGGGCAGGGCCAACTTAGGCACTGACATGGGCCAGGTTAGTGGGAGTTGGATTGGGCCTTGGTAGTTGGGGTTTTAAGAAACAGGGCTGGCTGGGCTTGGTGGCTCATCCCTCTAATCCTAGCACTTTGGGAGGCTGAGGCAGGTGGATCACTTGAGGTCAGGAGTTTGAGACCAGCCTGGCCAACATGGTGAAACCCCATCTCTACCACAAAATACAAAAATTAGCCAGGCATGATGGTACATGCCTGTAATCCCAGCTACACAGGAGGCTGAGACAGGAGAATTGCTTGAACCCAGGAGGCGGAGGTTGCAGTGAGCCAAGATGGTACCACTGCACTCCAGCCAAGATGACAGAGCAAGACCCTGTCTCAAAAAAAAAAAAAAAGAAAGAAAGAAAGAAACAGGGCCAAGCAGTGTAATTTTGCTGCATGTTGGGGATGGGGTGGCTTCATGGTGTGGGGTACACACCATTAGCCTCTCCCTCAAGATCTTGCTATCGCCCTTTGCTTTCATATTTTCCCTTCCCATCTTTTTCCTTGCCAATTTCTTCTTCTTTTTCTCCGTTCTATTCCTTTATTTTTATAATGTCTGGACTCAAATTGGATTACATAGCAAATGCCTATGTTTTAATGCATACCCTTCCATCCTTTTTCTAGTCTATGCCTTCTTAATTGTCCATAATAGTAAGCTGCAGTGCAAGTATTATTATTGTATTTGTGAACTTTTGTGTTCCCTATTGTATATAATGATGGGTGAATTAAATATTTGATTTTCTTTCTCCTCTCAAATAGAAAACATAAGTAAATAAAAGCATCCTTTACTTATCTAGGCCTTTGATTTTTTTTCATTATGAATCAGTAGTCCTTGGTTACCGAAAGAGGTAAGAGGGGAGGGAGTTCCCACTCTTGTCTCTCAGTAGAGACAGCCTGTCCTTGAACCTTTCTATTTGCTGTTCAGGTAGACGGGGTCAGCTACCTCCTTCAGGAGATCTATGGAATTGAAAACAAGTACAACACACAAGATTCTAAGGTAAGTTTTATCCAAAATTCTGAAGGTACTCTTTCCAGGAGGCCAAGTGAGAAATTATAAGCCAGCGTCCAGGAATTTAGTATGCCAAACTCTGAAATCAGTTAGGTCTTAGAAGGGTATTTTCTTGTTCCTCATTTCAGATCATTATGCTTTTACCTCTTGGGAAATGAGAAAAGTAGGCTGGTTTGGCTTTGTTCTGCCACAGAGTTCTGTCCAACTCGGTTTCCACCAGGGTCCTTTCTTTGCTCCTTTTCTTTTATCTGTGTGGTCCCCTAGGTCCCTTCAGCTGAGACTTGAGAGGCCTAGCTCCGAGCCTCATAGGAGCTCGAGTGGTTAGTCTTGTCCTCTCAATTTTAGATAAACACTTCCCAGAAGCAGTGAAGCTAAGTGTGTGGACGCACTGGGTAAACGACAAAGTCCAATGCAGATTTGGTTCTTATTACTTATCCTAGCTCTTTTTTTTTTTTTTTTTTTTGAGACGGAGTCTCGCTCTGTCGCCCAGGCTGGAGTGCAGTGGCCGGATCTCGGCTCACTGCAAGCTCCGCCTCCCGGGTTCACGCCATTCTCCTGCCTCAGCCTCCCGAGTAGCTGGGACTACAGGCGCCCGCCACCTCGCCCGGCTAGTTTTTTGTATTTTTTAGTAGAGACGGGGTTTCACCATGTTAGCCAGGATGGTCTCGATCTCCTGACCTCGTGATCCGCCCGTCTCAGCCTCCCAAAGTGCTGGGATTACAGGCTTGAGCCACCGCGCCCGGCCTACTTATCCTAGCTCTTTAGCCACACTGCCTTGTCTGTAAAGTATGGGACAGGAAGGGCTTTGTGACACTGGCTAAATTGCTTTCTCCTCGACCAGGTGGCTGAAGACGAAGTGAGTGATAACAGTGCCGAGTGTGTGGTGTGTCTCTCGGATGTCCGGGACACCTTGATTCTGCCCTGTCGCCACCTCTGCCTCTGTAACACCTGTGCAGACACCCTGCGCTACCAGGCCAACAACTGCCCCATCTGCCGACTGCGTAAGCCCCAGAGCGGCAGGGGGACTGGTGGGTGGGAGAGAGGACAAGAGGACATTTACAAAACACTGAAGCATGTGCTGCTGCTGGATCTGACAAACGGATGCGCGCTGGGAGGGATCATGGTTTCTGTCTGGGCTCTTGTTCATCCTTAATCCTGCATCAGGATGTCCTGATTGCCTGTTTTCTTCTTCACAGCCTTCCGGGCACTGCTTCAGATCCGAGCCATGAGGAAAAAATTGGGCCCTTTGTCCCCAACCAGCTTTAACCCCATCATCTCATCCCAGACATCTGACTCTGAAGAGCATTCAGTAAGTTGGGCTCGGAACCACGGCCCCTCTGAAGCAAATGCCTCATTGGCTTTTTTAAACCTTTCATGCTTTTCTATGTGGCATTGCAGCAAGGAATTAGACCTGGGTATGCTGCAGTATTTAGCAGCCCAGCCGAGAGCATGTGTTACAACCAAATTATTACTGTGGAAGATTAAGTACTGGTCATGAAAACCTCCCTTTTCCTCTTTGGGAACTTGGTGTCCAGTTAATATTTACCATTCCTAGAGCCATCTGCTTGCAGTTTCACTCCAGGGAGGTTCAACTCCAACTCCCTCAGGCAGAAACAATGGGACGATTATTTTGGATTTAAATACAATTTATTATCTTTATTCAAATCCTCGAAGAAAGTAACTGTTTTTCTTTATCCTGTTTTGTGGCCTCAGTGCCTGAGATAAAGTGACCTCAGTTTCCTGGTGTAAGTGCTGATATTAGAGTGACACCTGAAAGCTTTGCAGTTAAAGAAGAGCAGATACTGTCTTTCTTTAGATTAACGCACTGCTGGGAGAGATGATTATTCAGTGAATGGTATTGGGATCATTAGTTAGCTATTCCAGGAGGAAAAATCAGTTTAGCACTTTACTCCTTACCAAATAAATTCCAGCTGGAGTAACTAATTAACTATATTAAAAGCATTAAACCAAACAAACATTACAGCACACCAAACAAAACAAAACATTCAAAACCTAGAATAAATTGGCCGGGCGCGGTAGTTCACGCCTATAATCCCAGCACTTTGGGAGGCCGAGGTGGGCGGATCACAAGGTCAGGAGATCGAGACCATCCTGGTTAACATGGTGAAACCCCGTCTCTACTAAAAAAAAAAAAATACAAAAAATTAGCTGGGTGTGGTGGCGAGCACCTGTAGTCCCAGCTATTCGGGAGGCTGAGGCAGGAGAATGGCCTGAACCCGGGAGGTAGAGCTTGCAGTGAGTGGAAATTGCGCCACTGCACTCCATCCAGCCTGGGTGACAGAGCGAGACTCCGTCTCAAAAAAACAAAACAAAACAAAAACCTAGAATAAATTATAGACGATTGTTTAGTTGACTTTAGATTGGAAAGGATTCTCTAAGCGTGAAAGCAAGAGCCATACATTTTACTACCTAAAAAGTTTAGCACGTCAGAGGTCTAATAGGTGACCAAAATTAAAAGTTAGACAACAAATAGTAGTTTTTTAAAAAAGTATTTACAATGTATGTATCAGAGGAAAAGCTAATGTCTTTGCCATAGTTCATATCGAATAATACAGTAGATTAATGGGCAAAGGGCATAAACAAAACATACTCAACGTAGAGTTTTTTAAAAAGTTCAACCACATTAAAAATCAATGATATGCGAATATGAGAATACCATTTTCCAACTTTCAAATTTTAAAAACTTTTTTTTGTAGTGATTCTCCCCGCTTTCAGGGAAGCAGTCAGAATAGGTCTTCTGTATTACTTACAGGAGTGTAACTAGAAAAGGCACTGAAAGAAACAAAACAGTGGAAAACAGCAATATATATCAAGAGCCTTAAAAACATTTATACCTCATCATCTAAGAGCTAAGAATTTAACAAGAAGAAGATAATTTGAAAAAAAAGGCATTCAAGGATGTTCATCAAAACTTGTTTACAATAGGATGTGCTAGACACAACTAGATACACAGCACTAGGAGGATAGTTAGAAAACTTAGGGGATCTGTAAGAAGGGGACATATATGAAGAGGCTTCAGAAACGAAGGAAAATATTTATGTTCTGGCCAGGCATGGTGGCTCACATCTGTAATCCTAGCATTTTGGGAGGCCAAGGCAGGCGGATCGATTGAGACCAGGAGTTCAAGACCAGCCTGGGCAACATAGTGAGATCCCATCTCTATTTTTTAAAAAAGAGGAAAGTATAATAAAATAAGCAGAATATAAAATTGTTATTTACAGGTTGATCAAAACTGTGTAAATAGTACACAGAAAAAAATGGGAAGAAGAGACACCAGAATGCTAACAAAAGTCACTTTGGTGATTTGATTACTGGTGATTTTTTTTCCTAATTTTTTTCCTAATAATATATTTTCCAAATTTCCTATAATTAACATATTTCCGTTATAATCAGAAAAAAAATAGAGATTATTAAGAAAAAGCTTACCAATAAGCAGGATCTACAATGTGTAGTTCTTTGATATTTTACCTCTGCCTCTAGTACAGTTGTTCTTACCAAACCCCCCAAGAACAGATATAAAACATTTTTTTCTGTGTAGAGTAAGTAGCATAATCATGTCATAAAACAAAAAGGACCTAATTGATTTTTCAACCTGTCTCTGATTCCCCTAGTCCTCAGAGAATATTCCACCAGGCTATGAAGTAGTATCTCTTCTGGAGGCCCTCAATGGGCCCCTCACCCCATCCCCAGCAGTTCCTCCACTTCACGTGCTTGGAGATGGCCACCTCTCAGGAATGCTCCCTTCGTATGGCAGTGATGGCCACCTGCCCCCTGTCAGGACCATCTCACCTCTTGACCGCCTGTCTGACTGCAGCAGCCAGGGACTCAAACTCAAAAAGAGTCTCTCCAAGTGAGTAGCCAGTGCTCCACAGTATTGCCCCCAGAATCCATGATGAGATGTTTCAACTCTCCTTGGTGCTGGCCCACATCCTGGGGCCTTAGGGCAGAGTAACCCTCTGGGCTGTTCCCAGAGCTGCTTGTGGGAAGGTTATCCCATCCGTTAAGAGATGAAAATAAGATGGTATGTAGGCACTTAGGAAAATTCTGATGAGACAAATCTCTTATGTATTCTTTTTGTTTTCAAGGATAGGGGATGGGTTATAGGGAAGAGGACATTGAACACTGTGGATAGGGCCATCTAGGCCCCTGAGAGCACTGCTTAGTCCAAAGACTGAAGGAACTTTGTGATCCATATCTCTTAAACATCTAAGTCCAGCTAGGTACAAATCGTGACAAGGTTTCTGTGGCAGAGTAAAGCAGAGGGTATTTTACAGATGAAAATATTGAGACCCTGTAAACGGCTGTGGTTTTTCCCAAGTTTAGACAGCAAGTCATCAAAGGAGCTAAAGGTAAAACTTAGCGCTTCTGACACCCAAAAGAGGTCTACATCCCTCCCTGGTTCTCTTTTCTACCTCCCTAGTCCTACTTAAGATTTGGGTTTTGAGCCAGGAAAGTTAGCCCAGACCTACTCAGCTACTCAGGAGGCTGTACTCCTCCTCTGTTAAAGACGTCAACAAGAGGATCGCTGAAGCCCAGGAGTCTGAGTCCGGCCTGGGAAACATAATGAGACCCTGTCTCAAAAAATAAAGAAAAAAGATTTGGGTTTTCCCCTCCGCTCCCCTTGCAGTATGTACTGTTCTTTAAATGGACGTTGGATATAGCTGCTTTTCCACTGGACTCCTATAGATCCATTTCCCAAAACTCTTCCGTGCTGCATGAAGAGGAAGATGAGCGTTCCTGCAGTGAGTCGGAGACACCGCTCTCTCAGAGACCATCAGCTCAGCATCTCGGAGAGGTAATTGATATTCCTCTCCTCTTCTTGGGTGTTGAACTCCAGGGACTTTCCTCCTACCTGCATGGCTCATCAGGTCCCTCTGCTCTCATTCACTTATCAAACACCTTTTCAACGCCCTCTGAGGCAGTGGCAAAGATTTCACTGGATTCATGCATTCAACAGCATATGCAGCCTGTGTTATTTGCCAGGCACTGTGCTATATGCTGAGTATAGTAGCTGGGACACAACAAAAGTCCCTGCCCTCGTAACATATTCTTGCTAGCTGGGGTGAGGGTGGGGGACACAAAAGACAATAAGTAAAAAAATACACGTGTACCAGGTGGGGCTGTGGATCAGCGTGTGTGACATGTGGGAAGGGAGTGTCACAGCTGGAAGTGGGGGCTGCCATTCTTAAAAAGCGGTCCAGGAGCCAAGACCAAGGGAAGTGTGAAAGCTAGCTATGCAGATATACGAGGAGAGAGGGCCCTAGGCCTGGGAACAGCAAGGAGAAAGCCCTGAGGGTAATTGGGGGGTGCCAGGAGGCCCACGTGGAGGAATGGAAGAGAAGGCTGGAATTTTCTACTCTGTGTGTCCCACAGAGACCTCACATACCAAAGGTTTATGCAACTTCTCTCTGTAGGGCACTGAGCTAGGTAGAGTGGGGCATAGGAAGGTGAATAAAGTGGTCCCTGCCCTTAGGTGCTCAGGTCTGGCTGGGACAGGACATATACATGGGAATAGCATGTGCCTGGCATGTCATTGTTGCTCAGTAAGTATGTGTTAAATGACTGAGTAAACTTTATAGAAAAGCAGTGTGCCCAATACAGAGACAATAAATTGCTGTGTCAGAGATGGACAAGATCATTGTAAGTGGAGGAAATCAGAAAATGTGTTACGGCGGAGTAGCATTTTAGCTAAACCTTGAAGTTTTTTAGATATGAAAAAGGTGAGAGAAACATTTATGTGGAGAGGACAGTGCATGCAAAGGCACAGAGCAGGAAGTCAGGGCTCGGAGCAAGCCAGGGGCACGGTGAGCACTTCGTTTCCCAAAGGCCCACCTGACCGCAGCATGCAGCCTGGACTAGACAGGAGACAGACCCAGCCAGGAAACGGCTTCGGTAGCCCAGGCAAGAAGGACTGCCTGAACTAAGACAAAAGAGAAGCGCCTGGAGGAAAGGGAAGGGATTATGGAGACATAGTTCATAGAACTTTGCATCTGCCTCAGATGGGTGAGGCTGTGCACCCAGATGCCTGGCAGATGGGGGCTGGGATCAGAGATGGAGGCGTGGGAGGAGCAGCAGGCTGGGGAGCAAGGTGGTGTTTGTATCAGAAAGCAGCTGGGCAGGAGTTAACTGGGGTCCGTGTGGAGATACCCTGCAGGCAGGAAGGCCTCTGCTGTCTTTGTATGCTTTTGCCTCAGAAGGAAAGCTGATCATAATCCTGGGGAAACCTGGGGTGTCCCCATGTCACAGCTGCGGGGTGACCTGTGTCACCCGAGCTGCATCTTTGTATGGCCGCAGCAGATGGCTGTGCCCTGGGCAGGAGGTATTGACTGAAGTGTGCGCCTCCCCTGGGAGGCAGGCATTCCAGGCTTGGGCTGAGAAGTGAGGACGGAATAGAGAAGCTGCGGCCTCTGCATGCCACTCAGTCCCTCCCAGTGTCGCCTTTCCTCCTCATCTCTACCCAGACCTCCGCCCTGACCCCTTCCTCCAGCACAGGTGACTCGCACTTGCTCCATGTCCTGTTGTGTCCCCCACACCCCCCAGGAATGTGGTGTGACTCCAGAAAGTGAGAATCTCACCTTGTCGTCATCTGGAGCTATTGACCAGTCGTCTTGTACAGGGACGCCTCTGTCGTCCACTATTTCCTCCCCAGAAGGTACATGAGGAGCAGGGAGTGGCTGCATGTCCTTCCCCCTTACCCAGCCCACAGTGTCCTGGTGTTTCCTCTGGGAAGGGACATGGGAGTGGCAAGCTAATACCTGGACTGCATGACAAGTAGGCCCTGGCTTGAGAGGGAAGAGGACTTGCTTTCCTACCATGGGTTAGCGGGCTTGCCTGAAGCTAGCGGGGTGTTGGTTCTCTCAGCCCCAGTCCTGCTGTCATGAGGTTTCCTTTAGCATGATGACAGGGAAAAGCAAATGTCTTGTCCCCGAGGCTAAGTTCTGAGCTCTAAAATATAAAGGAACAGAATTTTGGAAAACCGTAAACCTAAAACCACTTTTAGGGGAGGGCAAGATAAGGCCACTTCACTCCTCACTGCCTGAGTGCAGGGAGAGGGCTCTGCTCCCCAGAAAGCTTGCAGAAGCCCTGCCTGACCTCCAGGCTCCTTCCCCATCCCCTGTCTCCAAAGGCCCTGCCAGCAGCAGCTTGGCCCAGTCTGTCATGTCCATGGCATCCTCCCAGATCAGCACCGACACCGTCTCCTCCATGTCTGGCTCCTACGTCGCCCCTGGCACTGAAGAGGAGGGAGAGGCTCTCCCTTCCCCCCAGTCTGCCAGCAGGGCCCCCTCAGAAGAAGGAGAGGTAAGGGAAGGGACGGGAACCGCCCTGGCTTCTCTGTTCTTTGCATACATGTCCAAAGTAGCATAACCAAAGGTCTGCCATGCATGGCTGCAAAACGCCCCAAAATGCCAGGAGTGCCACAGAAAACAAGGCATTCCCTTAGGTCTGACCCTCCTATTTGACACCAAGTTTTTACTGAAGAAGGTTTGGGTTTGCTGTCACGAGAGCTTGATGGAAGAGCCTGTAAAAACTGTGCTCTTCTGCAGGGGCTGCCAGCGGAGTCTCCAGACAGCAACTTTGCTGGCCTCCCAGCTGGAGAGCAGGATGCAGAGGTAACCCCAACAGCACGGAGTGGTGCCCCTTCGCATAGCCAGAGGAGTGCTGGCCTTGGCTGGGATGCCAATGAGGACCAGGGCCGGGAGGCTTTGCTGACGAAGTCTTCCTGGGGGACATGCCTAGATCAGTGAGAAGTAGAATATGGGTAGAGATGAGAGCGGCTGCACCAGGGCCTGTGGACTGTCCAATGAGTGGGGCCACTTGTTCCCAGGGTCACTGGTGTAGAGTGAGTTCAAGAGGGAACTTTTCTTGCCAGCTCCTGGCCTTAAGAATGTATTGTCCGTCATTCCACTAGTATTTACATGGGGGACTGTGTCACAGGTGCTCATTGGTGCTGGGGCACATACAGACCTGTACAGATCTGTGTGGCGAGGTTTCTGTCTACCCCCACCCACTGCACCTAGGAGCCCAGTCTAGCAGGCAGACAGGACCACAGTTCAGTGTGAGACAGCCCATGGTGTGCTGTGGAATGCCGGCTCACAGGGAGAGGTCTAGAACTCTTCTTGAGCCAGCTACTCTCAATGGAGGATCTGGATGGGGTTTGGGATCTTAAGGAATTTCTCAAAGTCTTATCATCTCACAGTTTGTTCTTTCATTTAGTAACTTGTACTTCTACCTTAGAGAAACAGTATCAGTTTGCCGGGCGTGGTGGCACATGCCTGTAATCCCAGCTACTAGGGAGGCTGAGGCAGGAGAATCACTTGCACCTGGGAGGTGGAGGTTGTGGTGAGCCGAGATCATGCCATTGCACTCTAGCCTGGGCAACAAGAGCGAAACTCTGTCTCAAAACACACACACACACACACACGAGAAACAGTATCAGCTAAACTATTAACAAGGGTGTTCCTGACAGACCATTCTGAGCATATATGGGTAATGTGGCTCGGATCTAATCCCTATAGGCAGACGGTGCCTCACCAAGCAAAATCTGCCTCTACTCAGCCTCTCAGGCATATTAAACACAGATGGAAGTATATGCTGTTAACGTAGGCCCTGGAGTTAGATACCATTAGGATGATTAGTTCTGTCTTCAGCCAATCAGTTTACTCATTTTGCTGCTTTATAGACTCACAGGACCTTCCTTCTGTCCTAGGGAAATGATGTTATGGAGGAAGAGGATGGATCACCCACGCAGGAAGATGGTAAAAGATCTGGTCCTTTACTTCCTTTAGTTATATTTCTTTCCTGGGTCTTCTTTAAGGGGTAAAGAAAAGGGTACCGGTATGACTTGGTGGCACTGCTCAGTTGTGTGGGACTGTTAAGGGAAAGGTTGTCGTCTTAGTGGTACATCAAAGCAAGCAGGGCATTGATGACCTCTATGACCTCCTCAGCTCTTTCTGGGTCTCAGAGCCATGGATGTCAGGTGCGGGTGCTGCAGGAGATACATACAGGTCCATATTTACCTCAAGTAGATTCGGAAGCTCTCTAAGCAGTTCCCATCATCAGCCTCCCTGCTGCAGGTTTTCAGTGGAGCCCCACAGAGCTCTTCTGGCAGTCTCAGTGTTGAACAGCAGTAGCCATTTCTTCCACTGTGGGGAGGAGGAGGACTATTTGGCAGCTGGTCAGGTCTTGCTTTAGTTAGGAAAATGGTCGACATTACTGTAAAAGAGGACTCTCAGGAGCCAGCAGACATATTAAAGGCGTGGTCAAGGAAACAGGTCCAAGTTTCTTCAGGAGCTCAGCTTAGGCAAGTATTTTAAAGGCTATTGTAATGATCTTCCTTTACCATAATTCAGGCCTCAGTTATATCTTCAGTTGGAAGAATGTTGTTTCCAGGAAGGCTAGAAGAGAAGGAATGGCCCACAGAGCAAGGACATAGGAGGAAGAAGGTGGGCAGGAAAGTCTCCCCCAAGCAGCGAACACCATGTGTTCCAGGAGCCAGACTTCCTCCTGCTGCTCTGAGGCACCTCCCTTAGAGGCGCCTCCAGAGCACACATATGCCCGGCCTGGATGCAGAAGCGCCAGCAGATGTCATCCTATTGCTTCTGCTTTAGCGCTGGCCATCGCTTGGGAAGTGTTGGAGGTGCGCATGTGGACATGACAGGTCCCGCCTGGCCAAGGAGCTTGAAGGAGAAGGTGGCCACCAAGGCTGCCTCCGTCAGCTCTTGCACCCCAGCCCAAGGGGGTTTGGAGTGTCACCAACTCAGTTGATGACTTCAGTGCTTGAGGCTCTAGCGTTACCCCTTGTGATTATTTCTCCCATAGAATATTTGCTTCTAAGAAGTACAGTGTGGCCAGGTGGTTTCACCTGACATTCCCTAGCCCGTGGAATAGATTTGTTTTATTCTCTCTGTTTTCACTGAGAAAAAAAGAGGGGAGCTTGATTTTAAAAAAAGACACCTTTTAAAACTTTTCCCTTCCCTTCTAACATGTCCGTAGATTTCTGGTTAGCCACTTAAAACACACTGAAAATAACAACTGAGGTCTCGTAAGAAAGGAAATCATAATTTTGTGAATGTAGTCATTCTGATTTGATATGCAAAATTATGGACCCTAAGACCTTTAGTTGTTGTTTCATGTACTTATTTTGCAGAGCCATGTGGTCATAAACACACCCAGCTCGCACCCAAGGCAGACGCAGGCATGAGCAGGATGACCTCCCCACTGGCCCTCCCTAGCTTCTGCCGGCTGGTTGCAGCCTCACCAGCCTGGCCTCTGCCCAGCTCTGCTCGCTCTAGTGTTCTCTGTTGAGCCTGTGTCCCACAGCCCTCCTCAGTGATCTGACTTGTTAGGGAACAGCAGACGGAAAGGGCTCTAGGGAAACAGCAGGATAGCGTGAGAATACAGACATGCCACACAATGTGATTCCTTTCTTGTCCACTCTTTACCCACTAAATTATTGTCTTTTTTTAACACATCATTTGATTTTTTTTGGTCTCCATCCTTAAGATTTTTATTTTAAGGACAGCAATGCAGAGAAAAACACAGCCAGCACCTCTCTAACTGCATTAACTCCATTACAGGCCAGAGGACATGCGCATTTCTAGGTATGGAGTGTGACAATAACAATGACTTTGACATCGCAAGCGTGAAAGCACTGGACAATAAGCTGTGCTCTGAGGTCTGCTTACCTGGTGAGTGGCAGTCTGCTGAACATGAACTTGGTGGGGGACGATCCCTGTGCTCTTACCCCTGCTCTCACCCTGGTACACCCATCTCCTGCCCTGCAGTTCCTGCCAAGAAGGCCTGGGGTGTGCTAGTGCTGGAGACCAGTTGCTGAAAGGAAGTAAGAAGGCCTGGGAGAGTCCTTGAGCTTTTTGCAATGAGCCAGCCTTGCTCTGAGTGAGAATATTAGGATAGGAAGAAAGAAGCAAAACTTATGATTTGGCCTAACCACTCTCCACCCCACATCACGGCCTTGCAGGTGCCATGTCAGGTGGCCTGGTCTTGTTTTCATCAACAGGAAGTTTGAGCAGACAGACACCACCTCTCTACGAAGGTCTTGGAAGGATTACCTGAACCCCTTAAAAGTGAAGCCGTAGCTCCTCAGAAGAAAAGTGTTTCAGCTAGGATCGGAGAGGGATGTGAAAGTCAGCATTTTAGAGGCTAGGGCATGGCTCTGTGATCCATGAGCTTTGGGTTACCAGTTGCATTGTACATACTACTGGATTTGGATCCCAGCGGAGAGGTCAAGTTAGGGCTCCTTTGTGCTCCCTGGAGCTGTAACTTCACAGGTGATCAGGTTGTCACTGTGCCCCTTATTCCTCCTTATGATGCTAAACTGAATCTGGCTAATGTCTTACACAGGATCAGGTTAATCACACGTTGAGCACCGAGCGCCTTTTTAGTTAATGTGCGCATTCAAGGGCTCTAAAAACTGCTTTTCTAAAATCCACATCTTGCCCAAGTGGACTCAGTCAGATGTCCCCTCCGGGTTTCACGACAGAGATTGTCCTTCACACCGTGTTGTTTGAATCCTCTTAAACATTCCCCGAACGAAGACTCACTTCAGCTTCAGAACAGCCACATCACGGGTCCAGTGCTTTACTCGCTCAGCGACGTGGCTGGAGGCGTTGGAGCCACACGACCTCTGTGGTTGCCACTCTCCATCAGCCTGTGCAAGCTGTGCAAGACACAGTCCAAGCACGCTCTGGCCCCACACAAGCTTGTGGCAGGGGAAGCTGGAATTCCCTAGAGACACTTTCTCCAGCCCTTCAAAGGGCTTTCTTGAGTCATTTTCTATTTAGTTTGTTCTAAAGGCACTGCCCAGGCCTCTTCATCTTCAGTGAGACCAAAAGAGGCAGTATCGGTTTCCCTGCTTCTCCTGCACAGGCCCAGGGAAGACCCGCTTCCTGCCTGAGCGTGGAGGAGGGAGCGCCGACCACGGGGCCAGACTCCTGCCAGTTAGGCCTGGACTGGAGCTGCTGGGGCCCAGGGGCTGCTTCACTCCCTGCCTTCCCACTCCTGGCCTGGCTTCCATCTGTCCATTTGTGTTCCACATTATTTTGGCAAATGTAAATCTGTCTGTCTGGTTTGTTTATTTTCTAAACTCATGTATGTTCTCTAGACTTGGTATGAAAGTTCCTGTTCACTCCGTGCCAGTACTGTCCTCCCTGCCAATGCTTTGCCCCGTCCAAGCTTGCTGGGCACGCACACACCTGGGAGGCGCTCGCTTGGGGTTGTGAGCAAGGCTCCCATTCCTGATTGGCAAGGGCCTGTATTCAGGGTACTAAGATCTTCTGAGAAAAAAATATTTGTGAGACTGTATTTCTGTTTTACAAAAATGGGAATGCTTCTGTGGCAAGGGCTGTGGAAAGGATTTGGTTTTAATTGGCATCCTCCGTCAAGATGATGTCTCTGCCTTAACCGTGCCCTGTGTCTGAGGCAGCTCTACCCTGGTCAACCCCTTACTTGGCTTTAGGAGATAAATTTAGGTTCTTGCCTCCCTCAAGGGGCTCCCTTACCCACCCCTATTTTTTTGGCAGAGGGAGCTGCTGGGAGTTGTTTTAGCCAATAGTGCTAGTGGAAACTGAGCTTATTCCTCCTCTTCCTGACTCCCCCCAGCTGACCTGCTTGTTGAGAGTTACTCCATGGGATCACAGGAGAGTGAGGACTGGGAGGAAGAGAGAAGCCCTGGGGTTCCTTAGGGTGACTTGTGGAGCCAGCTATTTAGAGATTATGATGTGCTCACACTTTGTGCCAGACATGAAATCACATGCCTATGATGGCTCTTGGGAGAGGGCCTCAGGTATAGGCACTGTAAATGTCCCATTATATCCTCACCAGAGGCCTCAAGATGGGGGCCTGTATTCAATATACTAAGATTTTCCAAGAAAAAAAATGTGTGAGACTATATTAATTTCTGTTCAATAAAAATGGGAATGCTTCTGTGGCAAGGACAGTGGAAA